TGAGTCAGTATTTGGGTCCTCCCCTAGCCTGAACCTGAAACTATGCTGTTTTGGATAGGTATTTTACTTTTTGTACTTTTCATATTTTCTGCTAATAATGTGTACTTCAAATGCAAGACTTTTACTTGTAACAGTATTTTTACACTGAGGTATTCCAGCTGATCTGAGTACTTCCTCTACCACTGGGGTTCACAGTGTGATAGGCTGTAATTTTGTCAGTTCAGCCTCTCCTGCAGATGGATTAGTAGACTACTGGTAAATGTACCACTATTCAGTCACTGTGCCTGACCCTGCTTAGTTGGTGCATCCTGCGGTTGGGGGAGGGGGGCTAGTTAGAAAACTTGGTCACATATTGCTAAAAGGAGTTGCAAAATGCAACTAGATGGTTGCAGTACGGAGCCCTGATTTGGGGCTGTGGTAATAAAACAAAGGCAGTGTCCTATAGTGACTAATTCTGCACAGTGGCATGTACTACATACAAAGTGCAAGATAATACTGTTTTAGCAGTAAAGCAAAGAAAACTACTGCCTGTTAAACCTTACTCCTAATTTCCACTGGATGCTGCTGTTTTGTTTGCAATGTGAGCACTGCCAGTCTAGTCAGAGGCTGTGTTCCCACCAGGTCTAGCTGTGTTCCGTCTCCGATGCGTCCCACATGTAGCTCTCTAGTCCACTTCACTAAAGATGCACATCTAGTCTATTTGTGACAGTTGCTACATCTGACAAAGTTCCAGCCACCAACCAAATGGTGCTTTTCCAGAAAGATGTCTACGTGAAACACAGGCTACAAATTAGCCTATGACAATTAATGTATTGGCTGTGTTTCAGTTACAACACTGATTCGGGTTTCATACTGACTTAACTGTTTAAACCTAACCATAATTATAGTCTTGGTTACAGCACAAGTAGGAAATTAATAAAAAAATTACAAAGCCTGCTTACTGTAGAAGCTCAAAAACCAGGAAATATAGCCTACACCTAAAATTGGCACCACATCAAGCTGCTTTCTGGATGCACCCCATGGGAGACTAGGACAGATCAGAACCGGGTCACAGACGGAGCACAACACAGCCAGACCCGGTGGAAAGAGGTGTTAGACCCCCAAAAAAAGTAAACGAACACTTCCAGTATATTTATTTTTGAGTTGTTCCACTACTTTTCTTTTTTTCCCTGCTGTGAGCCACTCTATATCCTTTGTGCAGTGTGCCTCGACGGCATACTGTGCTGATAAACTTAACACTTTTGTGGTGCATTTGCACTGCATACAAGAAGCGGTGTATGGTAATACTGAGACATGGGTACAGTCTTACCAGATGCTGATCATTAAGCAGATGGACCACTCGTGTTGTCCATTCACCCATAGGCACCAGGTCAGGAGATGTTCTGTTCAATCGTAGCAGGCATAATGCTGCGCTTTGCTTCACACTGTCCATGGTGTCCCTGAGAGAAGCACATTGCAACTTCATTCATCATAATCCAAAACACTATGTAAAATTCAAGTGGTCTCTAACAAATTCACACTTAAATTATACTCCTTCAAGCTACAATATGTAGCTTTCCGTTAATTATACTGCTTGGTTAAAATAGGCCCTAAAACATGACTGTAGAGGCCAAAGTCAGGGGTGGGGCCTCACAGCCCAGTACATCTAGTCTCTCATGAGATCACATATATGTTCTCAGTTGACCCGAATGCTGTTACGGTTAACCAAGGACACAGGATGTTCCAAGTCTCCTATATCAGCTCTAAAGACCCAGGGTAGTGCTGGAAGAGCCATGACCATGAGTCCATCCTTCGGGGGGAGTTTTTTGTGAAATGACACGCCCCTTATCAGAAATCAGTTGGTGATTGGACGCTTCAGATGTGAAGGATCTGAGTAAAAAAAATCTCCTGACAATATGTTTTCTTGAGTCTTTTCTCCTCACATCTTACGTGGGTAGAACTAAGACACAAGGAAAAGACGCAAGTAGGGAAAATGACAATGCTTTTAAGAGTCTTGGGATGTACTCACTAGGTGAACGCATTTCTTGTTTCCTACTCCTCTCACACTTATGCTTCAAGTTGGTATTAATGCTGGAAGACATCACTATATCTGCATATTTACTATAGCATCACTATGGCTAGTGAGCTCCAAATTCCGCATCAGCTGAGACAGTGGGTGAATCCAAATTCTGTGTTCCCTCACTTCCGACCACACCCCCTCATTCAACAATACAACAGATACCACCACTTATAAGAAAAACGAACATTTTTATTTTATTTTATTTATCCGTTACTTAACCAGGTGAAGCTTCATTGAGATTGACATCTCTTTTTTTCCAAGAGTGACCTGCTCAAGAGGGCAGCACAAGATATAAGATGCAACTATAGAATATAAAATTATGCTAGCCATTGACTTGGCCAATTAATGAAATACAGAAAATCCTAAGGGATATAGCTTTAGACCAAGAGTTGAATACCACTGCGTGCAACTGTTTTTACTTCAAAACACAAGAGTTCATGGAGGCAACTACTTATTTTGTTAGATGTTCTTTGCTTTTTTATGACTAACAGTAACAGCTTAGCTTGTTTAAGTCCTTGACACAGTTAAAATCCATCCATCCATTAGCTATACCTCTTATCCTGAAGAGGGTCACAGGGTGGTTGGAGCCTCTCCCAGCTGACACTGGGCAAGAGCCGGGGTCCACCCTGGACAGGTCGCCAGTCTATCACAGGGTTGACATGTAGACAAACAACCACACACTCACCCCTACAGGCAATTTAGAGTCACTAATCAACCTAAGATGTGTGTCTTTGGACTGTGGGAGGAAGCCGGAGTACCCGGAGAGAACCCACGCAGGCAACATGCCAGGTCAGCCAGGGCTCGAACCCAGAACCTTCTTGCTGTAAGGCCACATTCATTAATGACTATGTACAAACCCTGCCACCAGGATGCGGGGAATTTCAGAAGCAAATGCCTCAGCCATTTCTCTGCTGCCCACATTAGCAATGCAGTGCAGGGCCAGGTTCATGAAGGTCGGATTGCGGCTGGCCAGGTCATTCTTAATGGCATTGTTGATTAGACGGATCAGGTCACTGTTCGAGTTCACCAGCACTGAGATGAACAGGTAACCCTGAAAGGGGACATAGGTAAAAACATTTAGTGCAGTTCTACCATAAAAGGTAAAAACAACAGACTGCATGTCAAGTTATCTGAACACCCCATAGTCATGTTCTGATGGGAATTTCACACAAAAACATCTGGGTGCTAAATGATCAACAACCTCTGGGCTTTTGACAATGGATGAACATGAGGACAAACTTACAATTTGTTTCTCTGTGTACTTGTTGGAGCTGAGGAGGTTGACAGCCTCCATGTGTCCGAAGTCGATATCATGACCCAGAAGAAAGATAAAAAGAAGCTTGCACACATACTTTTTTTTACTGTAGCCATCTAGAGCCTTGTCTCCTATCCACACACGTGCAAATATACACACACATCCACACCAACACAAAGAAAAATATGAATGTCTACAATATGTTAGTCTTATTCATTAAAATTTCTATTTTTTAAATTAATATTCAACATTAGTACTAATATTTCCCTTTAAAGCTTACCTACAATTATGTGAAATGTATCTTTTATGGTCTCCACCCTTTTACAGAACAATCCACTACACCTGCAGGGCAGCTGCACCACATTTTACTTGTAAGTCTCACATTTGAATATCTTTGTTAATCAACTGATGTAAAAACATCAGTTCCACACAGTCAAAAAGAAAAACTGTGCATCCTGATCAAAGTTCAGTTATAAAATTGTAGTGCATAACAAAGGGTCTCTCATGCTACTAACCAGTCATTCGCAGAAGAGTCAATCACACAGCACAGCAGTAGTGACATTGTGCCTGCATCTGGCTCTGAGGCAGTTCAGAATTTGCTAGTATAAAACACTTGAACCATAGACTATACTGTATAAAGATGAATGGCATGACAGTGCCCTAGAAGCAAAGCCAAAATTTAATTATTGCCCCCTGCTGGCTGGATGGAGTATTGGTCATAAACCCTGCTCTGTCCTTGTTAGTGGATGCAACATGAGCCAAACTAAAAATTCAAAGAACACATGCAATAAATTTTTGGTTCCTCTCATTTTAGGTAGTTCTTACCATTTTGACATATTCATTCATTTTTCTGATAAGTCTATTTTTAAAAAGTTTATTGATTATATAAATCAGTTGTGCCCAAAGGCAGATGCCAAACAGAAGCCTAACTGGACTTTGGGCTATTCCACAGGGTACTAAAACACAATTAGTGATGCACCGAAATGAAAATTCTGGGCCGAAACCGAAACCGAAAATTTAGGAATCTGCAAATTTCTTAGTCTTTTCAAAGAATGTGGCGACCGAGGGTATTTGTGATGTAGTTGGGGCACTTTTAACCAATGTTGTTTTGCGGTACTCCTCATATTCAGTTGGATGTCGTGTTTTCAGGTGGTGTATCAAACATGTTGTCGAAAAGTTCTTTGGCACCGTGCCTCCTCTTGATATTTTCGCAAACAAATGTTGCATATTGCAACTTTGGTGTCCCCACCTGAAACTTCAAAATGCTTCCATACCACTGACATGCTTTGTCTTTGATGGGGAGACGCGTGATATAACAGCTCCAGCGTGAGTGAAACCTAACCTGTGCTGCGCGAGGATAGGCGGGGCGTGCCTTTTCGCCGTGTTTTTTTTATTCTGGCCCGAAATAAAAATGGCCTTTTCGGCCAAAAATTTTCGGTGGCCGAAAGTTCGGTGCACCCCTAAACACAATAGTAAAAATGTCAGCACTCATGACTCTCATATGCTTTCCTGTCCCTAAATTTCTGCCTGATTTGCCAGAACTGTACACCTACCTTTAAATTTGGACCGGATATTGGCCAGTTCTTTGTTTATCCTCTTAATCTCTGCCTCTTTACTTTTACCTGAAACAAATCAAGACATGCTACATGTTATGTAGTGCTGTCATCAATTATAACTTTGAATAAACCATCCTTCTTCCTTGTGTGTATGACCTTGCTTGGAGAGTCTGGTTCATGTTGACGACATAGAATCATACAGCTGCTGCACATTTATGTTGTGAATCTCTCATTCCATCACAACCCAAAGGTACTCTATAGGATTGAAACTCACAGACATGTTTGTGGAAGCACCAAGAGATAGCATTTAATCCATGCTCAGTTGGTATTAATATCTACAAAGAGAATATACCCTACACAATAACACCAGCAGCAGCAGCAGCAGCCAGAACTGAAGGCAGAATAGATTCTTTTTGTTTATGCCAAATTCTGTCTGACCCCTACCTGCCTACAGTTGAAGTCAGAAGTTTACATACACTTAAGGCCTTTTCACACCGAACGCGACGTGAATAATTGTGGAATATTAAGTTGTCTGAGACATTGTAACTGAAGCACCAGCACCGTTTTCTATGTACTTATAAGGAATATAACCTTCACTTAGACTGAAGCATCAGCACTGTTTTATATAAATGTACTTATAAGGAATGAAACCTTCACTTAGTTGAAGTGTGTGTGTCCACTCAATCATTAACAGTATGTGTGCTCACTTAATTACAGAATGTACTTTGGTATTAGGGAGTTGTACTTGGTACAGCTCCCATATAAGGGAGTTATCTTTGGGAAAGTAATGATCAATTCCAGCTGCATAATGAAGGAATGTGTAGAAATGTGAAGGGGAGGGGGAGGAATAGAATATAACACACAGTTGTGGTAATTTCAGATCAGATCATCTGCCCTGCTGCTTGCTGTATGATGTATGTATAATTCACTATATCACAATTCCAATAGGTCAGGTGTTTGCATACACTCAGTTGACTGGGCATTTAAACACTTGGAAAACTCCAGAAAGATGTCATGGCTTTAAAAGCTTCTAATAGGCTAATTGATATCATTAGAGTCAATAGGAGGTGCAGCTCTGGATGTATTTTAAGGCCTATCTTCAAACTCAGTACCTCTTTATATGACATTATGGAAAACTCAAAACAAATCAGCCAAGACCTCAGAAAAAAAATCATGGACCTCCACAAGTCTGGTTTATCCTAAGGAGCCATTTCCAAAAGCCTGAAGGTACCATGTTCAGCTGTACAAACAATACTCCGCAAGGATAAACACCATGGGACAACACAGCCATCATACGGCTCAGGAAGAAGACGTGTTCTGTCTCCTAAAGATGAACGTATGTTGGTCTGAACAGTACAAATCAATCCCAGAACAACAGCAAAGGACCTTGTGAAGGCATTGGAAAGAGGTGCCAAAGAGGTACCAAAGTATCTATATCCACAGTAAAACAAGTCCTATATTGACATAACCTGAAAGGCTGCTCAGCAATGAAGAAGCCACTGCTCCAAGACTGCCATTAAAAAGGCAAACTACGGTTTGCAGCTGCACATGGAGACAAAAAACGTACTTTTTGGAGAAATGTCCTCTGGTCTGATGAAACAAAAATTGAACTGTTTGGCCATAATAAATGAATGTGGTAATAACTTGGCCTCATTAATAATGAAAAATACATAGAGATGTTGGAGCAACATATGCTGCCTTCAAGACGACATCTTTTCCAGGGACGCCCATGCATATTTCAGCAACACCCTTTTCCTGTGGAGGAAAGGGGTGTGAGTGCTGGACTGGCCTGTCTGCAGTCCTGACCTGTCCCCAGTTGAGAATGTGTGGTAGGTTTTGAAACAGATTGTGTCAACGAAGACCCAGGACTGTTGTTGCTGCTGTTTCATTTTCAATGTAATACAGGACACAGATGATTTACGCACCACTATTTTCATCTTTAATTATCATTTTTCATACCTATATCTATCCGTCTATCTATCTATTTAAAAAATTAAGTGCAATATTTGTAATTTACATCTCCAAATTTAAAGAGTTGCAGCAGACACAAGACACATGCAGGATGCTACATGGAAACTGAATGACTACAGACCTGTCGCCCTCTCATCTGTAGTTATGAAGTCCTTTGAGAGACTGGTGTTGGCCCACCTGAAGGCCATCACAAAGCCCCTGCAGTTTGCCTACTGGGCAAACAGCTCACCGGATGATGCAGTCAACATGGCACTGCATTACATCCTGCAACACCACTGTGCATGGGTCCTCTTTGTGGACTTCAGCTCGCTGTTCAACACCAGGCATCCTCCACCCTAAACTGACCCAGCTTACTGTTCCTGCCCACACCTGTCAGTGGATCACCAGCTTTCTGACAGACAGAAAGCAGCAGATGAGGCTGGCGAAAACAAGGTGCCCCCCATGGATGTGCGCTCTCCCCTCTGTTCTTTTCCCTTTAAACAAATGGCATCTCAGAGGACCCCTCTGTTAAACTTCTAAAGATCGCAGGGGACTCCGGTCATCTGGATCAATGTACACAAGGCTGCTGACCTTTATGGCATCCCTGGACATGAGCTCAGGACATGTGCAGGACATCTTGCTGGCGTCTTTACGGACATTTTTAACCTGTCCCTTGCCCAAGCAGTTGTGCTGACATGCTTCAAAACCACGTCCATTATGCCAGTGCTAAAATATTCCACCCTGACGTGCCTGAATGACTACCACCCTGTAGCACTCACACCCATTGTCATGAAGTGCTTCGAGGGCCTGGACCTGGCACGCTTGATGACCTGTCTCCCACCCACACTGGACCCCCACCTACCTACCGCAGGAATAGGGGCACGGAGGATGCAGTCTCCATAGCACTGCACTCGGTAGTCACACACCTGGACGACAACAACAACACTTATGTAAGAATGCTGTTCGTGGGCTTCAGGTCAGCATTTAACACGGTCATCCCCTCCAAGTTAACCACCAAACTTGGCGACCTGGGCATCAGCACCTCCCTCTGCAACTGGATTCTGGACTTTCTGACCAACAGGCCTCAGCATGTTAGGTCAGACAACACCTGCTCCTCCACCATTATCCTCTACACTGGCATACCACAGGGCTGTGTGCTGAGCCCATTCCTCTACTCCCTTTTTGCCTACGACTGCAGGCCTGTGCACAGCTCCAATACCATCATAAAGTTTGCAGACAACACCACGGTGATTGGGCTCATCAACGACAATGAGGAGTCAGCCTACAGGGAGGAGGTACAGCACCTGGTGAACTTCTACCACTGTGCCATTGAGAGCATCCTGACCAGCTGTATCACAGTCTGGTATTGAAACTGCTCTGTCTCCGACCGCAAGGTGTTGCAGCGAGTGGTGAAAACTACCCAACGTATCACAAGGACTCCACTTCCAGCCATTGAGGGTGTCCACAGGGAACACTGTCTTCGACATGCTCACAGCATTTTCAAGGACTCCCCTCACCCTGCTCACAAACTGTTTGACCTCCTACCCTCTGGGAGGCACTTCAGGAGCCTCCGGACCAAGAACAGTAGACCCAGGAACAGCTTCTTCCCCCACAGCTGTCTCCTTACTGAACTCTGTCCCCCGTTGACCCCCCACTGCCTTCCTCTATACCACTACACACACCTCACCCCTTGTCATCTCTTCTCCTGGGACTAATGCAATACACTTCTATTACCTGTAACACTGAAGTGATCTGCTAATTTGCACACACTTGACTCACAGAATACTGCTCTGTATTCATTTGCACACTGTTCCTATGCAGATACTGTATATTTATCTTTGCACTATTTACATCCATTGAAGTGTTCACTCATGTAACCTATTATCTTCTTATTCTGCACTATTTCATTCCATCTCATCCCATTGCACTAGTGTTCTATAAACTTAATGTACCTTATCCATTACTGTAATTTGAATCCAGTCTGTTGTACATCGTACATTACCCTGCATATCTTACTGTTAATATCAATTGTACATATCCAAATAGTAAATTAGTTCTGACTGTAGATACTGTGCACTCTGCACTGCTGTTACAGTTCTACAGAGGAATCATCGAGTTTGTTCTCTGCTCATCCATCACTGTCTGGTTTGGCTCAGCTACCAAACTGGACAAGAACAGACAGTGGACAGTCCAGACTGCAGAAATAATCATCGGTGCCAGCCTGCGCTCCATGGAGGACCTGTACACCTCATGGGTCAAAAGGAGGGCAGAGAGGATTTCTGCAGACCCCTCACACCCTGGACACAAATTGTTTGAACTCCTCCCCTCTGGACAGTGCTACAGGTCACCGTACACCAAAACAACCAGACATAAGGACAGTTTCTTCCCCAGGGCCATCAAGCTGATGAACAGTTAACCAATGACTGTATAACAGAACAACAACCTTTGTGCAATACCTTGTAAATATACTTTTGTATATATGTATCTGAACTATGTGGGTGTATATATATACATATATAATTTTTATTTTCCCAATGCACATTATGCCTTTTTGTTTGTTTTGTCTCAGCTTTATCTTATTTACTTGTCTATTCACTGTTTTATGGAAGAACATTGTACATACAGAATGAGAGTCACTGTACCAGGGTCAAATTCCTCATGTGTTCACCACAGCTGGCCAATAAAGCCAATTCTGAAGTAGTACTAAACACCTGCTGTGACTATATATGGTAGCTATTTACTGGAATTGCATAGCTATGTAAACAGTTTGAGCCCACTTACATGTTGGCAACTATTATCAATGTTTAGGCTCCTAAAAAGCAAAATTGTATTGTGAATGAAACTGTAAAATTACCAAAAAGACCTGGTGGACTGATTAGACAAGCAGATCATTATGACATAAACATCTTACAGCACCTCAAATCAAAGAAGAAATAAAAGCAACTCTAACCAAACTTTTATCTACTGTCCTATTTCCTCATGTTACCACTGTTCTAAATGATGCCCTCATAATTATCAGGTAAATATGTTATAAGATGTCAGTTTTCTCATACCGATGACATACAGACAGTACAATTACAGGATCTGTATATAATAATTATGGTTATGATTTGTCCTAATTATAAGATTAGAAGTTGTAATTATGGGACATGAAAGTCACTCTTTTTTTCTTGGTGAGTGTAATGCTCATTTCCTATTCGGACATAGGATAGTTTGTCAAATTCTAATTCTATGATGCCTGTTGCGGTAGCACCCGTATCAGACCGTATTTACAGTAATAGAAGCGAAAACCAAGATGACAATGGAAATGTCAGGCAACTTGTTTACAGTTCCGCCCGCAAACATAACAGCTGGTTAGACAATAAATATGTCGTATTTATGTGTGGGGCCTTAATGGAGTCTATATTTATGCAATTCTTAACCTGATAGCACTATCTTGTAAAGCCCTTCAGTTTAAAATCATTGAACGTTACAGCTCTAGATGAGGCTATTTGTGTCCAGACATGGTGGCAAACACTACATGCAAAACCCATAGCTGCTCATAATTTTAGTTAGCTGGGCACATCACTTTGGTGTTACCTGAATTATCCTCCACAAAAGTGACCCTCAGTTTGCAAACATGTTTTGTTAATGTTAGTGAGAATTAAGGTTTCTGTCAGGTAACTATTTGAAAACTATAAAGTAGTTAGCTAACTATATAAACCCGGAACGTTATAGAGCGATAAAAACACCAAATTGACGTTATCTCCGGGAGTGGTCCACGCCCTTTGACACGACGTTAGCCTCTGGAGGCTAGCAGCTAACCGACACTAGTGTAGGCTAACCTGCCAAGTGAATGTTTAAACCCATTTTGATACGTAAAAGTTATTAACGTTATAGAATTGTGGGTAATGTTACAAAGAGCAACGAAGACATATGTGTACATGTTCTCTAAACCAACCGCCAAATTGTTACTGTTGATAAATGCTAACGCTGTACTCGCCTAAGCAGGAACTGTCTATGAATGTTATAAACAAACTTACAGTTCCTGATGTCAGAGATGAACACGGCCAGGCCACGCATCCCATCCCCTTTAGAGACGGCAGGCATATTGTTAACTCTTTGTTAATGTGACGCTTTCTTTTTTCTATACAAATTATCTAACTAAATAGAGTAACTTTCTTTCGGTAATTTCGCTAAACAGCTAGAAAGCGCTGTACTACAGGGAACCCCGACGTGACGGAGACAGGAACCAGACAAATTGCGGCTACGTTCCATACATCTCCAGCTACACCTACAACACAACAGGGCTGCGTTCCAAACGTGGTGTCCAACTACACTCGGCCCGCATTTCTTTCAGGTGGATCAGTCTAATACATAATGTATGACAGAGAAGACGACATAACCTATTTCCTTATCTGTGAAACCTATTTTAAGGTATGTATAACTTCACAAGATGCTTCACCTTCCTCATTTTAAGGCAGTGCTCTGATAATTTGCACCCTAAATATTAGGCGACATATTTATTCCATAAAATAAGCCTATGACATCATTCTCTTAATATTAGGATATTTGTTTCTCATAAAAGTACTTTATTTTCATCGAAGTATAACTTTATAATAAGCACTTTTATAAGATGAAAGAAAGTCACTTTCGGCTTTTTCTCGTTTAGGGGTCGCCACAGCGAATCGTCACACTGACGACTCGCATGTTGACATTTGGCACGTGTTTTACACCCGATGCCCTTCCTGACACAACCCTGATTTGAACCCGGGCCGCAGCGGCGAGAGCGCTGCGCCTTAACCACTAGCCTACCAGGGAACGAGATAGTTTATAAGATAAATATTTATAAGGAAAAAAAAATACGAGTTCAGTGTGTGAAAAGCTAAAACAAAAATAGCCTACAAAAATATTAAGACCATTAAGAACAAACAAAGGCCAATGAGAACATGTTCATCCTGTGGTTTTTCTTAAAGGTGTCAACAGAGGGGGAACATTTGATATATAATGAATGTTGAATTGAATAAAATATAAAGACATTTAACTTTCTATTTCCGTTCTGCTACTCATTGTCTTGGGGATATCACCCACGAACTGCCCAAATACAGACAGCATGTCAGTTGTCCCACCAGGGGCAAAAACACACTGGACAATTGCTACACTGTAATTAGGCACTCCTATCGCTTTGTCCCCTGTGCAGCGCTCGTCTCTGATCACTGCATGGTCCATCTCATCCCAACATATGGCAGAAGCTTAAAGCTGTGAAGACTGTAGTAAAAACAGTGAAGAGCTGGACTGAGGAGGCTAAGTCAGAGCTACAGGCCTGCTTTGACTGCACAGACTAGAATGTTTTTGAGGCTGCGTCTACAGGCCTGGATGAATTCACAGACACTGTGACATCATACATCAACTTTTATGAGGACATGTGTGTGTTCTCAGCACATACAACAATAATCAAATCAATCAAATGTTATTTGTATAGTGCCAAAACACAACAAAAGTCATCTCAGGACACCTTACAAAGTAAGGTCTAGACCTGACTGTTATCACTATTATTACAGAGGGAAAACCCAACAAATCCCCCCGAGCAGCACTTGGCGACAGTGGGGAGGAAAAACTCCCTTTAAGAAACCTCCGACAGACCCCGGCTCTTGGTGGGCAGCCTTCTGCCTCGACCGGTTGGGGTGAGTGGATAGAGGAGAGAAAAAAGAAGAAAAGCAACAAGACACAACAAACAATCAAACACTGGTCAGGTTGATGTGGCCAGTGACTGCCAAGTAAACCAAGCCCTGGGTCACAAGAAAACTCATGCAGCTTCGTCATGTCAAAGAGGAGACCTACAGGAGCAGGGACAGGATCCTCTACAGCAGGGGTGTCAAACTCAATCACAGAGGGGGCCAAAACTCAAAGCAGACGTTAGGTCGCGGGCCAAACAGGACCAACATTTATTGAACAGA